ATGATTTGAAAAATTCAGGGTCAACAACAGCATAGTATGCATGCATTTCATTCTTCTTTCCATAAAATGGAACCCAAACTTATTTGGGTTCCCAAATCTAACATCTCATGATTTTATAGGGGTTCTCTCATAGAAGGCCTTATGAGAGTTTGTGATACCTGGACAGTGGATGTTCAAGGAACGTGACTAGAGATGCAAATCATTTCATTTCACTAGAGGCTAGGGCTGGAGGCAATGTGACACTTAGAGATAATACCACTAGGAGAGTGGTGGGATCAGTTTTAATTGGCAACTCTAAAAATTTTATTATTGAAAATATTTTACTGGTAGATAGCTTGAAATATAACCTGCTTAGCATAAGCTAACTTTGTGATAAAATATTTAACATTAAAATTTTGTTTGCCAGGTATATGATTAGCTTAAATAGAAACACTACTACAGGAGAGAGAATTAATGATATTTACATGCTTGACTTAAACTGTGTTAAACATGTTGCTTCATTTTTCCTAAAAATTATTGCTGGTTAATCTTTTTTATGGCATAGAAGATTGTGTCATGCAAGTATGAAAAACTTTAAGAAAATCACCCAAAAAAACATTGTGAGAGGAATTCAAAAACTAAAATTCTCTACGTACCACCTATGTGATGCCTACAAATTAGGGAAATAAGTCAAACCCTTCTTCCACTCAATTAAAGATATTAACACTAGCAAACCCTTGGAAGTCCTATATATGGATCTCTTTGGACCTGTCAGCATTGCAATCCTAAAAGGGAAAGTCTTTATGTATGTGTTTGTTAATGATTATTTGAGATTTACTTGGGTTAGATTCCTATCTTATAAAAGTGAATCATTCAAGGAATTTAGATTATTCTCCACTTGGATTCAGAGGAAGCTAAATTGTGAGATTTTGAGAATTCATAGTGATCGTGATAGAGAATTTGAGAATGAAAATTTTGAATCTTACTTTAAGTTGTAAGGGATAGATCACAATTTTTTAGCTCTTATAATCCCTCAGTAGAATGGGGTTGTTAAAAGAAAGAACATGACCTTGGAAGAAGCCGCTAGAGCCATGTTAGCTGAATACTCACTTTCTAAATACTTTTGGGTAGAAGCGGTGAATATAACTTATTATGTTATGAATAGAATAAATGTTAGCTCCAAACTGAATAAGAAACCCTATAAAATCTTGAATGGTAGGACAGCTAACCTCTTTCACCTTCATGTCTTTGGATGCTAAGTGTTTATTCTAAATAATGAGAAATCTCTAATAAGAAAGTTTGACCACAAATCTGATAAAGGAATGTTCTTAGGTTACTCAAATGTTAGGAAATCCTATAGAGTTTTCAATAAAAAAAATAGTGGTAGTTGAGAAGATCACTCATGTTGTATTTGGTTAATCTAATAATTCTGGAGGGTCTAAGGTAGAAGAAGAAGAAGAGGTTGTAGAAGTCACCCAAGGATTACAATTTACAAATCTGGAGGAAAGGGTAGAACCTAAAAATATAATGCCTAGAGAATGAAGATATTATTTAATTCATCCTAAAGAGTTGATCTTCGGAGACCCTTTTGGAGGTGTTAGAACTAGGCATGGACTTAGAAAAGAAGTAAACCACTCTGCCTTCATTTTAATGACTGAACCCACAAGCATAAATCAAGTCTTATCTGATGAATTATGGATCCTAACCATACAAGAAGAGTTAAATAAATTTATAAGGAATGATATTTAGGAGCTAGTTAAAAACCATAGTGTGGTTGGAACTAAATGGGATTTCAAAAATAAAATGAATGATTCAGGTGTGCTTACCTCATTTTTGTTAGTTTTTCCCTCAAGCGTGCCTGATCGACTTGATCGAGCCAAGATGAGTCGAATGCGAGTCGAATCAGTGTCAATTAGAATTTATTTTCGAGTTGACTCAGACCGAGTCGAATTTGACTCGATTGCACTCGATCAATTTCTATCAACATATGTCGACTCTGCCAGGCCCGATTTGATTTTAATTAACCTTTTTTTAAGGATTAATTTCGTATTAAAAAATTAATTGAATTAGATCGAGCCTAATTTGACTCAAAATTGAGTTAGATTTGGACTCAAATTTGATCTGATTCGAATTAGATCCCAGAGTGTAACCATAGTTATATTAATGATTGCATTATTTATTGATTAATTATGTTTTAGATTTATTTTATTTTGAAGAATTTAATTTGTATTTTTTTTATTTTGAAGGATTCAATTTATATTTAAGATATATTTTTTATCAGGAAAACAAACCTGAAAGAGAAGACATTTGAACCTATTACTGAAGTATTTTTAGTGACGTCTGATAATATGAAAAAGTTAACTAACATGATCATTCATATGGTGAGCGATAAATTAGCAAAATATGTTGGAGAGAGTTTTAAGAAAATTAGTGAAAGTAACATAAAAGGATTGTTATAACTATTAAAGAACCTAACAATCTATAATATATGTGGTGTGGGAGAAGACGTGTGGGACACTGTAGGATAACAAGACAATGCTTTCAATATGGTAATTATGGGCATCGAATGGCAGAATGCCCATTTTTTAGAATTAGGCAAAGATCTGTTCAGAATGAAAGCAGAATGTTAGAACCTATGAAAAAGTTCTTGAAATGCTCGAAATATGACTAATATGATTTTGTTTAAATTTTTAATTAAAAACTTGAATTTTCTTATTAATGATTTCATAACTAATTTTGCTATTATTTATGCCCGACATATATTCTTGAGTTTTAAACCAATTTAATTTAGTTTATTATATATTTTATTTTATTTTTTATTGATTATGTTTCATATTAATTTATTTTGTGTTACTCGTGGGAAATATCTAGGACGATATTTTTCTAATGTGACAATATTGTAATAACACATATTTTAACCCAAATAGGTAATTTTTTTAGGATGTATTATAAGTGCAAATCATAAATCATTTTTATCATAATATAGATATTGCAATTCCTTGATTATACTAATTTTTTCTTAATTTTTTGGGCATTGGTGCAAATTCTTAAAAAATTGATACCTATCTATGCAAGTGGGAGGTTTTGTGACTGTTAGTTATTAGTTTTGCAAACTAATTTTTCCAAAAAAAAAATTAAATATGATGGTTTATTTTATGAATATATTTTTATAATTGTTAGAGCTTCTAATTTGAAGATAAAAAAAGGAATTATAAGAATTATTTTTTAAAAATTAAATAATTACATAATTATAATATTATTTTATTATAAAATATAAAATATAATATCTCAAGTCATTAATGGCATTAAAATCTTTTTCTCTTCTTTAATTGGCCAATAAAGATTTATTAGAGTGAAAATTGGAGGAAAAGTGAGGAGAGAGAAATTAGAAGTTAGGTTTTGAAGGTGTGAAATTTACTCATCTCATTGTAAGGAATGATTACCCTATATTTGATTTCAATAATTTCGTGTATTTTATATTTTATACTTTTTAATTTTATCAAAACTTGTAAAAGTTGTGTATTTTATATTTTACACTTTTTAAGTAGATCAAAACTTGTAAAAGTTGTGATATCATAATTTTTAACAAACTTTTTTTGTATAACTTTTAATATATTATATATGTCATCAATATGAGTATTTTGACAAGAATATATTAATTTTTTACCAGGTAAATCAAAAGCTATAATTTATTGAAGTAAATATATATATATATATTGGTTAAAACCTGCTGAGGGGCTTACGTGTTAATTTCAAAAATTTGGTTACATAGTCCTTAGAAGGATCCTCCAGCTCTCTAATGCTCAAAAGAGCTACAAGAAAAGTAGAAAGAAAACCTATGAGCCGGTGGTTCCTTTTCCTAAGATTACAAGAAGGATATAAAAAATGACTCGGGCTGTGAGCAAACAGCACCCAAAAAAGGATGATCCGAATAATCTCATTCAGCACCATCTTCTTGCAAAAATGTTGAAGAAAATAGAACAACAAATAAAGACACCAAAAAAGAAGTACCTTGCACTCATTGAAGCTCCCGAAACAAAAATATAATTTATCCCTGCAAGGCACTCTCCAAAAAGAAATATTAGACATATAGTAAATAAAACTTAATATAAAATAACTCTTAAAGTTGTAGTGAGAAAACAACCCCAGATTACTCCAACCAAACCAATTGAAAATCTGATTAGTCTCCTTCCTCATAACCATTAAATTGGACCAATTCTTACAGAAATAAGGAATCGAATCACTATTCCACCTCCAGCAATCACCAAAACTCTTCTGAGCATTAATAACCAACCACATAACATCCACCCTCCTCCACCAAAGTAGAACAAAAATCCAAATATGAATGCAAAATAAAGTGATAAACCAGATCTGGAGAGAGGGCATACCCATGATACCCGCCAAACTCCAATTCCACCAATAATTAATCAGAAAAACAAAATGCAGCATCCTCCCGACAATAATCAGAGAAAACCTCAGTAGAACAGGTAAACTAATATCCATATAACAAAAAAATTGATACCAAAGAAAGACATAAAAACTAACCCAGATGAAGAAAAAATGTTTCCAACTCCCAGGAAGCCCAGAAAAGAAACCAAAGAAAAGCGAACCCAGAAGAACAGCAGACCAAACAGCACAAAAGAAATGGCAACAAACACAAAAACCATAAGCACCAACAACAAAAAGTCATCTAGGTCTAATATAAGGCAGACAAATCTTATCCATATTAACCAAACCTTTCAAAATGTGAGGTAAATAATAACATCAAATTCCCTATCCTCCTCCAATCTACTCCCAAGTTTAGCCAGGCAATCAGCACGCATTTCCCTCTCTTAAAACATGCTTAATCGTATAATTAAGAGTAGAGAGGGCCATACAAATTTTTCTGATAATGTAAAAGAACTGAGGACAATAAACATCAACATTTTTAGTAATTTAAATTAAAGTTAAATCATCCACCTCAATCTCAATGTTAAAAAAACCTCTATTGTTATAAATATAAAGACCTTTAAATAAGCCCATCAGCTCAGCAAAAATGACCTTACACGGAGATAAAGGGCCGCATAAGCCACAATCACTTTATCAATTTTGTCACAAATAATACCCCCAAAACAAGCAAAAGACCGATCAACAGAACCATCAGTATTAAGCTTCATATAAGGAGACATCAGTTTTAACCATCTAACGACTCTTTCACTTCGAATCAGCTCCTCAGTATGAATAGGGATACCCAGGTTCACACACAAAGCTTCACAATGTATGAAATTTTTTCTCGAAATAAGCTTGACAGCAAACAATTGAAGCAATTTATGATTAATATTGGAGATAATAACCTTATCCTCCATCTTAACCCCATTATGCTTAGCTTCATTACGATCTTTCCAAAGGAACAACAAAATAAGAATAGGTAACAAGTTAATCACATGACCTTTAACCGTGGACATCCAATCAGTCAATAAGGACTGAACACTATTAACATATATAGAGTCTATAATAGGAATAGGTTTGTTAACAATCATAGCATAATACCTCAACACTTTTTGAGCAATATTACCATTGAGGAAAACATGATTAATACTTTCAATATTAGAACAACAATGGCATTTAGAAGGAAGATAAAAATCTTTATTCTAAAGACGAGCATCCACCGGTAAAAAACCTTTGATACATCTCCAAGCAAGAATAGAGTAAGATAAAGGAATATTGTTGTGCCAAATAGAACCATAAATACTAGAAATATCATTCTTGATTCTAAATACCTCCCACACATTTTTAATTTAAAAAGACCATTGGTAGAGCTGTTAAAAAGAATACGGTCAACCTCAACAATATTCAAAGGGATGCTCAGAACATGATTCAAAATCTCCTCAGGTAAAATATGTCTAAGCTTATTATCATTCTAATTACCATTATCAATATAGTAGCTAACCTTAGTAGAAAGAAGAGTATGAGAGGATAGCATATTATCAATCGTACCCATACCTAACCAATTGTCTTGCCAGAAAAAGACATCCCCTTTACCCAAACCCCATTGAATAAACGGATCTGCTTCCGAGCTAATCTTATATAACCGTTTCCAAATAGAAGACTCGGTTTTTTTTTTAAATACACAAAGTAGGATGCACCACTTTACAGTACTTAGCATGCATGAAATTAGCCCATAAACTAACTTTAGATCTAAAGGAAAACCAAAGTTTATAAGAGAAAGCCCTAACCATGTCCAAAATACTCTTACAACCTAAACCACCCTCATTAAAAGGGCCACATATTTTTAACCAGGAATACCAAAGAATAGAAGACCTATTATTCTTAGCTCCCCAAAAAAACTTGTTAATCATCCTTTCCAATCTAAGGCAAATAGGAGTAGGGTTAAGAGTATGAAAAATGAAAATAGGGATAGAATTTAAAACATGTTTAATAAGCACAAGTCTGCCACCAAAAGAAAGGAAATTAGTAGACCAATTGGTAATTTTGCTTTGAAGAACCGTGATCATATCCTCAAAAATCATGCTTTTTTTCTCCCCTTGAAAATAGGGTACCCAAGTATTTAATAGGCAAAGAGGAACAATTAAACTCACAAATCTTTTTAATATCATTAATTCTATCTTGATTAGCAGAATTAGATACAATAAAAGTACTTTTATTCTTTTTAATCGAAAGCCCACTCATTTTTTGAAACTCATTTAAATGCTTGACAAGAAATTTAATATTAGTCAAAGAACTATTAGCAAAAATAATAAAATCATCGAGAAAACTAAGGTGAGTAATCGGGATACCACCCATAGTACGATAAAGCAAATTAGGATATCTTTTGTAAAGAACCTCCAAACCCCTAGATAAATAGTCAACCACAATAATGAACAAAGCAGGGGATAGAGGATCACCTTGACGCAAACCTTGACTGAATTTAAAAAAACCATTACTTCTACCATTAATGATAACAGAAAAGTAATAATGCTCAATACTGTTTTTAATCAAAGAAATGAAACCATGGCTAAAACCAAATAAAGATAGCACTTTATACAAAAATTTCCAACACAAGTTATCATAATCCTTAGTAATGACCAATTTAAAAATAATGTTCCCACCTTTAACTTTAGCATTGATATCATGCGTAATTCCTTGAGCAAGCAAAATATTATCAAAAATGCTCCTACCTTTCACAAAGCCAGTTTGATTCTCACATATAATTCTAGGTAAGTTATTAATAAGTCTAGTAGCAATGATCTTAGAAATTAGCTTATTAAAAAAAGAGCATAAACTAATCGGTCTAAAATCATTCCAGTTATCGGTAGCATCCTTCTTAGGAATTAAAACAATATTAGTAGAAGAGAAGAATTTAATGTAGGGTTTACCCAAAAAAAAATCAGAGCAGCATCCATAATATCCCACTTAGTAATATACCAAGTTTTAATAAAAAAAAACTTAGTAGTAAAACCATAAGGACCAACAACAGAATCACCATTCATATCCTGCATAACCTTCCAAACCTCCTCCTCAGACGGGGCAAGAGTGAGATGGAAATTATCAGTTTCTGAAATACAACAAGGCACAATATGAGGATTAACAATAGGAGACGGATTAAAGCCACTATTAAAAATATTTCTAAAATGATCAACACCAGAATTTAAAATAGAATCCTCCTCCTCCAAGACCCTATCATCATCACTAGAAATTTTGAAAATATGATTCCTATTTTTTTCTTGTTAGCCAAAGCATGAAAAAACTTGGTGTTCCAATCACCTTCAACAGTGAATTTAGTAGTAGCTTTTTGTTGCCAATACATCTCTTCTTGATCATGTAAAGCAAACAGTTTAATCTTAGCATTATTGAGCTCAGAAAGATTAGAACTATCAGGATTAAGCAAATAAACATTTTCAAGCTCCATTACCTCATGTTCAACATTCTTAATAATAGAAAATAAATTTTTAAAAATATGTTTGTTCCACCATCTCAACACTTGTTTAAACCTACTCAGCTTGCTCCACAGCTTAGCCATACCCAAAATATTGCCATTAGGGAAAATAGGTGCCTGCCAATTTCTCTCAACAACATTAAAGAAATCAGGATGAGATAACCACATATTTTGAAATTTAAAGGCATTAGGAACATAACTTTTGTTAGCATTGATAGTAAGCAGTAAAGAGGCATGATCAGAAGCAGCCCTACTAAGATGCTCCACATGAGTCATATGGAAATTAGCAATCCAATCATGATTAAATAAAACCCTATCAAGTCTTTGCCACAAGTTACCTCTACTCCAGGTATAAGCATTCCCAAAAAAACCTATATCATGTAAGTCACAAGTAGAAATCATGGAGTTAAAATCCTCCATAGCATTAATATTAGGATGATTACCTCCCAATCTTTCACTATCATTAGAGATAACATTGAAATCACCTCCAACACACCACGACGCTGAAGTATTAGAAGCAAAACTCTTAAGACTGTCCCAAAGGAAAAAACGGCCCACTCTAGAGCAGGCAACATAAACAAAAGAGGCATTACAAGAAAAATTAAACATAGACATTGAAACATGCACAACTTGAACAAAGTCATCCAGAATATTCAAGTTGATAGCATTATTCCACAAAATCCAAATCTTATTAGAACAATTATCAAATTTATTAAAAAAACCTAATTTAAAAGTAGTATTATCCAATTTACTCATAGCAATCAAAGGTTCAAGTAATACCTAAAGATGAATGTTATGAATCCTACAGATGTTTTTAACTCTAGTTTTAGAATCCTTCCCACCAATACCTCTAATATTCCAAATAAGGGACTTAACCATGCAAACCTTTAGCACTAGTTTGAGCTCTAGTAAAGAACAGCATAGAGGATACAGAATCTTTGGATTTTTTTCCTTTTTCTTATTAACTTTAGTAAAGTTCTCCTCCTCAAGAATTTTAAGAAAGGAATCATCCACAACAGATTTTTTAGATTTAGAACCTTCTAAATCCAAGGGCAAAGAGCTACCACGTTCCAAATTTTTCACCAGTTTATCCTTCTTATTTTCCGTGGGGATAAATTCCCCTTCTTCACAATTTTCATTAAGACCAGCATCTAAATTAATAGCTAAATTAGAATCCTTAGCAACTATAGGAACATCATTAGAATTATGTAACATAGAATCAATAGAGATAAAGATATTAGAGAGTTTCTCACTATCATTACACAAAGTCTTACCTTCCATACTAGCATCCAAATCACCTCTGTTTTTCGACACAATAGAGCTAGTCACAGCATCCACCTGGTTTTCAATAATAACATTTGGCACCTCTTTATCCAGCACATTATTAGAAATAAAAATAACAGGGGAGTCAACCTTCTCAACTGAGGGTTTAGTAATTTTTTTAAGCTCAGGATGTAATTTAAAGCAATCGGAAATCGTATGTCCATGAATCTTGCAAATGGAACAAAAATCCGAGGCCTTCTCAAACTCGACTTTTTGCAAATAACCAAACGCCTTTGATCCAACCCAAACTTCTTTAGGATGTTTCTAAGAAATATCAACTTCCATTAGGACCCTAGCCATAGAAGGATGGGTCCTGGAAGAAGTCGCTTGGTCGGTTTGCAAAGGCCTCCCAAAAATAGAGCCAACCGCATGCAAGACTTGAGGGTTAAAAAAATGTAATCTCAAATTCGGAAAGTAGATCCAGATCGGAACTATGGGGGACTCTTCATGCACATCAAAAAATGACATCCATTTTAAAATTCTCATTTCACAGTTGTTAATAAAATAAGATCTCCTAGCAAAAACTCTGCTATAGTCGAGATCGTTCGACAGCTGAATCGCAACATGTCTAGAATCTAAAAGCTCAATGAAATAAAAACCATATAGTTTAAGATTAGCGAAAAAATTACGAATAGAATCGAGATTCGGTCTACACAAAGCATATTTCCCAACAAGGGTAAACTGAAACGGAGAAGCCAGTTCAAGAACATCTTCATCGGAAATAAGAACAGCCGGGACACCATTCACAACAGATTGAGTAAATTTAAGAGCGTTATCACCTTGCATCGGGTTACTAGAGAGAACGACTTTGAAAGAAAGCGTAAGAGACTGGGATGGAGCATCACCATCAAGATTGAAAAAGCCTCTGCTTTTTCCATGTGTCGGGCTGGAAATCTTCCCCCAAGCATTGGACGAAGACATCCCCAATCGAAGCCCCAAACAGGGCTAAAAAGCCGAAAGGGCCACCAAAAAATGAATAAAGGAAGAAAAAACGAAGTGAAATGGAGAGAAAAAGAGCGCTCGGAGGAAGGCCAAAGGAAACCCTAGAATCGCCAAGGAGGCGGCTAGGGCAAGGGATCAGAGCGCGATGACGGCCGTTCAATTCCTTGAATTATTGAAGTAAATACATAATATACAAATTTGATAGATTTTCCTGCATTTTATGAATTATATTATTTAATACAAGATATCAACAAAAATGTAGAATTTCTATTTAAGGGAGGGAGGCATGTTGGAAAGCTAGTTATTAACATTGAATATAAATATCGATACCAATTAGTTAATAGTTAAGCTTAAATTAAGACTGAAACATAATTAGATGATATTTGAGATTGATCGATATCAATTATGCCTAGATTAAGACTGATACCCAATTTTGTAACAATTATGATGGAAGAATGAAAATACCATATTAAAGTTGTTATCGCAAAAGGAAACTCGGATATTACCGGTGGCTATTACCGGTTATCTTATAGCCGCCGGTATTACCAGCGGTTTGATCGCCAGTATTAACCTGCAATTTTAACTGAAGGATTGAAACTGCAGTAGATAAGCTTCAATACATTGAGCCTAAGAGCAATACGTAAGTTCAATTTATTTTATTAAGTTTATTATAATTTGATATCTTATATGTTATTGAGAAAAAATTTAACCTGTAACTTCAAACCTTCAAGGCCACCTACCCACAAGATTCGGTATATCATAAGGAGCAAATATGATGCTCCTTACCTATCATGAAAGAAGATCCAAAAGAAAGTTAGGGATATGTGGTTTAGCAAATTTTAGGTATACTTATTTGGCCTAAATTAAAATATTTAATTTAATTTGTATCAATATTATTTATTATGCCTATATTTTTTTATAGAAATATTTTAGGTGGTTGTCTGAGCATAGCATAAGGATCAGATCAAATTTTGAGAGGAGAGATCAACCCATCTTAGGAACATATTCACGGACATTAGAAAGTATGGGTAGCATCCAATATGGATTAGAGAGAGCGTATGGGCAGATTTGAGTAGAGCTTGGGCAAACCCTGAGTTCAGAAAAATAAGAAAGAAAAATAAGCATAATAGAGCATCTAATTGTGGGGGTTTAAGAATCTCCCTTTATACTGGTGGATCTATTCCTCATACGAAATATAGATGATGACTGGTAAAAGCTTTGAATTAATTTAATAAATATTTGTATATTATTTTAAATATATCTTTTATTTTTAGAAAGAATTTCTTGGTCAGGAGCCCATACCACTGGAGTTACATATGAGGACTCACCAACATCAAGCTGACCATCAGTGAGTTGATGAAAAAGCTAAAAAAATATCATGTGAGTATAATTTTTTAGAGTTTTGTTATATAAATTTAATATAAAAAAAACTCATTTTAATATCAATATATTTTATGGATTTATTCTCATAGGATGATTTTATACTAGCTCGGGAAAGTCATCAGTCTACTAGTGAGGGATCATCTTCATGATCAACCCAATATTCTAAGTATCATACATGATCAGATGTTGTTGAAGGAAGGCAGAGGGGGAGGGTATATGGCTTGGGTTCGCAAAGCTATGCTTATGAGGCTAGTTCATCCACCTCAGCATTTTATGATCCAAGTGGAGCAAAAGAAACTGTAAGTCAGAGGGTTGCAGTACTGACGAGAGAGATAAAACAGATGAGAAATATTCAAAAAAATGAGATACAAGTAGAGATGCGATCCTATAGAGATAAAAATCAAAAGAAGAAAGAGCAAGAGCAGCCACATGCATCACAAGACAGCAAGGACATGGAGGATGATTAGTACTCTTATTTTTTTGATAAACTTATGTGTGAACTTATTTGGTTTAAACATTTGGTTTGATGAACTTGTTATGTGTAATTCAATGACTTTATTTGTTGAGTTTAAATATTAGTACTCTTCTTTTGTTTTATGAGTTTATTGTTTTGATTAACATTGTAGAATTTATAATAGTTGTTATTGATTATAGTGGCGTGTTGCCCATATATGTTAGAACTTTGTTGTCTACTTTGTGCAGGTTTAGACTTTAGGGAAAAATTCAGTAAATTATAAGGGAGACTGTCAATTTTTTTCCAGATGCTACAGGTTTCTGGCAGCTAACCGGCGGTTCCGCCGCCGGAAACTCGATACCATATAGCTTTTATAAGCCACCAAAATTTTAATCATGCCACCGGTAATTACTGACGGTTTACCGATGCTAGGCGGCGGTTATCCGATGAGATGTCGGCGGTTTAGCTGCCGGTACTTCTTACGGTTCTGACAGTTGGTAAGCCGCTGGTGATTAACTGGCGGTTTACCGGCGGTTGCTGACGGTCACCCGGCGATGCACCAATAGTTTAGCCACGAATTTTACCAGTGATTTTGATAGTTGGTACGCTGTCGATAACTAACTGGCGGTCACTGGCGTTACCACTGTCGGAAACCACCGACCGTCATGCCGTTGGAAAGCCGCCAGTTACTAAAGCCACTTGAAAAGGCCACCGAAAATCGTTTCCTACGCCATTTTTTTCTAGCGATTTTTGTACCGCTGGAAAGCCACCATTTTTTTATAAAACCTTCAGAAATCAATCGTTAACTGCCGATAATAGCTAAATTTCCTATATTGTGCATTCACGATTGAAATTACATGATAGTGCATTAAAGTAATTGATATATAGAATTGAAATAATACTAGCATTAGTAATGATACAATATTGCATATCAAAGTGACATGACTCATTGGGTGATAGTGTCTTTATTGATTTTACTTATAGCTTGATATATTACTATTTATCATATATCTTATAATTTGATTTTTTTTTTCATTTCACTGATCATAATCATTTTATTATTTTATTTTGAAATTTTAAATTGCTCGTATTAATTGATGATTTATAATGACTGGGACTGAAACATGCACATTTAGTCTTTTACTTTGCATTAAATACTGTGATAGAGTTTCGGTTATTTGTTGGATTTTTATGATCATTATGTGAGTTTTATATAGTTTAAGGTAAATATAGTTGACTATTATATAAGGCTAAATAGTGATGATCAGTTTGATTTTTTTTAAGTTTTTGTTGTAGTATTCTATAGTTAGTGATGGCTATTGTATATATGTTTTCGAGTTTTTTGAGCTTCTATTGGAATTTACATATTGATGGTAGTAATATACTTATATTTTCTTGTTGTTTATTTCTTTTTATTAATGCAATTATTCAGCTCTTGATATAAAATTGATCTAGTTGTAAATGAATATTGGTTGTAGATAATAAGAAAAGAAAGAGAAAGAAACTAAAAATAAAATTTTTCTACTTTAGATCCTAGGGCGTGACACCTGCTTCTCTAAAGCATCCAATTTTCTTATTACCACCAAGTAATGTCCACCAAATTCCTAGCTCTCCAACATAAAGGTACTTGGTCTCTAATTCCATCATGAGCAAACAAACAAATACTAGTATGTTCCTTTACATTTACACAAAGTTCAAACTTGATGGTTTAATTGATTGCCGCAAAGCCCGCTCTGTCGCTCAAGGCTTTAAACAATAATATGACATTGACGACAACCAAACATTTAGTATAGTAGCAAAGATGCCCACAGTTTTTCTCCTCCTCAATGCTGTTCTTCACCATAACTAGCCTATCAATCAACTTGATATCTCAAACACCTTCCTTCATGGTTCTATCCAAGAAATTATTTACATGGCTCAACAACCTAGTTTCATCAAACTTCTTTATCTTTATCATGTATGCAAACTCCAAAAAGCTCTCTATGGCCTAAAAGAACACCACAGAAAAATAACACATTTCCGGCAAAATTTTCAGCGGAAATAAATTCGTCACAAATTCTGACGGCTTTTCCGACGGATTACCGATGGAACATTTTCGACGGATTTTCCGGCATAATTTTTTATTGGCTTTCTAGTGGGTTTATTTTCGATGGACTTTCCAACGAAAATTAATTATTTTATGAAAAAAGACTATAATAAATATTTATAATTAATTATTTCATTAAATTAAGATAAATAATTTAATAACTTATTATTAAATAAAATTATTTAAATTACATATTATTAAATTAAATTAATTAAATAATAATTAATAAATCATTGTTAAAATAAATTTATTAAATTAAATTACATTAATTAAATTAATTAAACTAGTATTCAGTTTAGTTTAAATAGAATAAAAAAATAAAAGAAACAGCTTTGGTTAAGTGTTGCATTGGTTTGCTTCTTGATGGAGGGTCGATGGGTGCTTGAATTTCGCTGAGGTCAAGGTATTGTGCGGGTCGGCTGGCCCACGGGCGAGTTGGCGTGGGTCTGGAGGACAGGCAGTTTAGCTGGAGTGCATTTGTGTGGGGCAAGCTGGTGCAGCCCGTGGGTTGGCCGAGTTGCGGGTAGCTGGTCGTGTATTTCTCCTTTTTATTATTGATTTTTTTTTCTTTTTTATTTTCAGTGCAAAATAGTCCGCTGAAAATTGTATTGGCAGAATTATTCTATCAAAAATATTTCCGGCGGCCTATTTTGCTCAGGGACTGCTTTTCCAATGCGCATTTTACCGCTTATATTTACATGCTTCTTTATGTTGATGATATACTCATTATAAGCAATTAGCTCTCATTCATTCCAAACCTACCTACAAAACATCAAAGCCAATTTTTTGCTAAAGACCTTGGCCAGGTCTCATACTTCTTTGGCATTCAAATTTCCTCCACCTCCAATACTAACTTCCTACAACAAACCAATTATGCTAATGATAAGATTTTAAACCAGTAGTAACTCCTGCATCTCTTAAACATTCGGCTACAACATATAACGATAAAACCATTCTCCAACCCTACCCTTTATCGCCAAATAGTTGGATCACTACAATACCTTACTATAACTCACACGAATAATGCCTTCATACATTGGGCCTCCGATACAATTG